AACCCAGCTGCCCTACTATGTGAACTATAGCAACATTAGGAACAAATACCATATATAAAAATACATTAAGGGGGCCAGGCGCAGTGGCTCACCCCGGTAATCTCAGCACTTTGGGAGGCCGAGGCGGGCGGATCACAAGGTCAAGAGATCATGAACATGGTGATTCCCCGTCTCTACTAAAAATACAAAAATTAGCTGGGCATGGTGGCGTGTGCCTGTAGTCCCAGCTACTCAGGAGGCTGAGGCAGGAGAATTGCTTGAACCTGGGAGGCAGAGGTTGCAGTGAGCCGAGATTGCACCACTGCACTCCAGCCTGGCACCTGGCAACAGAGCAAGACTCTGTCAACAAAATATTTGTGTGTGTGTGTGTGTGTGTGTGTGTGTGTATACACACACACACACATTGAGGGATAATTGTTTGCTTTGCAGCAGATTTAATATAGATTCCTGTGAAGGGAATGAACCCAGTGCAATTAAGATATATTTACCAAAAAATCAATTTGTGCTTTTTTCATGGAGAGTTCAATTATATTGCACAAGTAAAACACATTTTATTAAAAGCCAGTTGAAAATAGCTGTCAGGGTCAGGCGCGGTGGCTCACGCCTGTAATCCCAGCACTTTGGGAGGCTGAGGCAAGCAGGTCACCCAAGGTCAGGAGTTGGAGACCAGCCTGGCCAACATGGTAAAACCCAGTCTCTACTAAAAATACAAAAATTAGGGCTTGGTGGTGGACACCCATAATCCCAGCTACTTGGGAGGCTTAGGTAGGAGAATCACTTGATCCTGGGAGGTGGAGGTTACAGTGAGCCAACATCACACCACTGCACTCCAGCCTGTGTGACCGAGTGAGGCTCTGTCTCCAAAAAAGAAAAAAGAAAGCCATCAGAAGAGCTAAAAGAATGTATTTTAAAAGACCATTTTCTCTCTCATTCACATATATTGGAACACCTATATGTGCCAGACACTCTTCTAAGTGCTGGGCATACAGCAGTGAATAAGGCAAAATGCCTGTACTCAAGATGCGTATCCGACAGTTGGAAGAAACAGACAACAAGCACAAATAGAGAAATCTCAGGAACTGCTGTTAATAATTCAGTGATGAAAACAAGTGGGCAGTGAGATAAATGTAGGTGTGTTATTTTAGCTTGTTGTGGGGATCAGAGAAGGTCTTCCTGAGGAAGTACATTTAATCTGAGTCCTGAATGACAAGAAGGATTCATGGAAAGACCTAGAGGAAGAACATACCAGGTAAAGGAAAGAGTTAGGGCAAAAGCCACAAGAAGCAAATGAACTTGGCTGTTGCTCTAGGCCTTGTCAATGTTTGTTAACTCTGGATGCACATTTCAAATACCTAGGGAGATTTGTAAATCATGAATGACTAGACCTCATCCCCATACCAAATGAACAGAATCTCTGGAGTAGGGCCTAACCCTCATTGCTTTTTATTTTTGTTTTGAGACAGTCTCACTCTGTCACCCAAGCTGGAATGCAGTGATGTGGTCTTGGCTCACTGCAACCTCCACCTCCCAGATTCAAGTGATTTTTGCACCTTAGCCTCCTGAGTAGCTGGGATTAAATTACAGGCTTGTGCCACCACACCTGGCTAACTTTTTGTATTTTTCAGTAGGGATGGGGTTTTGCCATGTTGTCCAGTCTGATCTCGAACTCCTGGCTTCAAGTTGTAAGGGTTATTGCCGAGTTTAAAATGAGGAAACTGAGGCAAGTATAAGAAAATTAAATGCCAATTTATTCACCTTCTGGGCGAGGTTCTATTGTCCGGGGAAAGGGGGCCAGAGAAGTTGCACTGACTTCCTGGGGCATGGGGTTTTTATGGCTGAGAAAGGAGCAACAGCTGGGTGCTCTGATTGGCTCCAGGGGAGCGGGATCGGGACGGGGTGGGCCGCCATTGGTTGGCGGGTTGTTGGGTGGGTTTTCCGGTGTGAGAGCCAACCAGGGTTGCATCGTCAGGAGCCTTCCAGGGGAGCCATGCGGCAGAGCTAGGTGCCGAGTGCAGAGCCTGGTGCCGGGTGCAGAGTCAGGTGCTGAGTGCAGAGGTGGGTGTGTCCGGCCTCCCAGCAAGGCAACCGGCCTTACATTCCAACCCTTTTGATAATAAGGATGCTGCTTCTTTCTGGCTACTTCGTGCTGAGTAGGGGCAGAGTGAGGGAGAAGGGTCAGTTGGCTGGTGCCTCGGTTGGGAGTTGGACATGGGGTGAATTAGCATCTGGTTTACGGCCATACGGGCCTGTAAAAACCTGAGGGGGGAGAGGGGAGAAATAGCCTGGGGAGAAATGCCAAATGTGGGTGAAGGGGAAGACAGCAGCAAAACATGCTGCCACGTGTGTGCCTATGCAACTATCTTGCATGGTCAGCACATGTACCCCAGAACCTAAATGCAATAAAAAAAGGAAGAAAAAACCTGAGGAAAATAAGGGGATAGCATTAACAGAAGACAAACTACGATGATGGGAGTGATAATAGGGGTTAGCCAGGTTAGCATGGGGGATTGCCACCAGTTAAGAGGCCAGGTTGATGCATTCTACTTCTTGTGGAGGTCCTCTTGGAGGCGACAGAGAGTGCTGACATTTTCTTCTACGAGGCCTGTTTCATTGATGTAATAGCAGCACTGCTCCTGAAGAAACAGGGCCCTTCGGTTCTGGAGAGTTACCTGGGCCAGTGACGTGATTTGTCGCTGGAGTGGGGCCAGGGAGGCGGCCGACGCTTCGATAGCCACGCGAAGCTTGTCCTCTAGTTGAGTGGCTGAGGTGACACTGTAGCCTAGGGCGCCGCTACCCAGCTCGGCTGCCACCAGAGAGGATGCTAGAGAGAGACCAACGACCATGAGGAGGAAGACTGCTCATCTGTCTCGGTGATTAGGGGAGGGTGGAAGGAGGAATAGAAGTTCGACCTGTCCATATACCTCTAACTGCAGGACCAAGGTGACAGGCACACAAGGGAAAGGGAAGGAGGCATTAATAACTTTAGTTAAGGTTCCATTACACCAGAAATATTCTCTTGGTGGTGCATAGAGGGAGGATTTTACCTTTACTGTGGTGTTACAGCTGGGATTGGAGCTGCTGGCTGTCTCATGGCAGAGAGAGAAATTTTGAGGGTGTACTTGGAACAAGGGGATATCCGTTAAGATGATGCCGGGTCCCGTAGGTGATTGTGACAGATTAAACCGAGACCTGAGGGAAACTACAGCTAAGGGGGGGTTGCTGAGAGAGGCACATAAAGCAGTTGGTGATATTCATGGCTTTAGTTAAATTTAACATGTTGGCTCCCTGCTGTACTAGAGTCAACCAAGAGAAGGACTGAGGGGTGTTATCTGAGGGTTTGAATTGGTTAGTTAGGATGGCTTCATTTTGCAGGATTGTATGGCTTACAGAACTGAGCTGTTCTGTTGCTTCAGAGATGATGCGGGTATAGGACCGGAATATTAGCCATGTTCCCTGAGGGTGGCTCCAGGTGTAATCTTCACAGACTTTACCAGACACTCCTGTGTCCTAACAGCTGTGCCAGGGTCACGGATGTTGAGGGCTAAGGAACCATTGCTGAAGTGAGCGAGCATGCGGTTGGGACGGCTTGGAGGCTGTGGCTTGTGAATAACACAAGAGCTGTATGGGCACCCCCCATAGGTGGTGTGTTCCACCAATGACAGTAGTCCTTGGTTTGGTCATATAGAAAACACAGCCCATGCCAAAAATGAAACCCACAATTGCGACCGAGTATGGTGCTTTTACCGTGTGGGATGAGGATGGAAACAGTGGACTGACAGCTGCCTGTTTGGCGGTTTGGCTGTGAAAGATTATGGGTCCTGGTGGTGGGGCCCTCAGTCCAGGATTCCTGGGTTGCAAGGATGCTGGTTTGAGCTCTTTGAGGAGAACGCTGTCGCCCGGCTGGAGAGGGGCTGCCGGGTGGGGGTCCTCTGGGCCCAGAGCGACAGGGAGAGTGCAGTCAGCGTGCTCCCTGAGTACCTGGCGGAGGAGAGAGAGAAACGGAAGGTAGGCGGCCAGTGGAGGCGGTCGTGCAGGGAGATTATGGGAAACCAGGAAAGGCCGGCCGTACAGCCATTCGAAGGGGCTCAGGCCCGTTGGCCCTCATGGGGGGGCCAGGGCAAGAGGTAGGAGTGTTCCCGGCTCACTTGCTGAACCAAGAGAGTTTTACTTCAATAGCAAGTTTGGCCAAATGGTCTTTGAGGATGCCGTGGGCCCGTTCAACTTTACCCGATGACTGAGGATGGTAAGGGATGTGTAGTTTGCAGATGTTGAGGGACTCGGCGACGACCTGGATTACTTGGGCCGTAAATGCTGGACCGTTGTCCAACTGGATGGTGGCACGTAGGCCAAAGCGAGGGATGACTTCTTGTGTAAGAAATATCTCTAGCAAGTAATTGCCACTCAGCTTGTGGTACTGTGAAGGCTAATACCATAGCCTTTGGTTACTTAAAATCTAAAGTCATGTTATCTTTAGGCTTAAGAGAAATTTGTACTTGTAGTTTTTGGAGCAGATTTCTCCCCAACAAAGGAACAGGGTAGCTGGGAAGATATAAGAACTTGTGCCGCACCTCTTGCCTTCCAGTGACGTATTTTGATTGGCAAAAGGGTTTGTTTTTGTTTGTTTTTACCTGATAGTCCTGTAGCCCCAATAGTAGTAGTGTAAGACAGTGACCCACCAGTTTGGATCATATCCCACCACTAGGTATATTTATATGACCGTTCTTTTGGGGCATGCACAATTTCAATGTCCCTTCTTTTTCCACACTGCACATTGATCTCTCTCCAGGTTTTAGACTCTGTTTAGCTATATTCTTTTCTTACTCTCTTCCACGTCCTCCTCCACATCCTTCCACTATCCCAGCTTTTCTTTCAACTAAGGCACGTGCTAGTAAATCTGCCCCTTCCTTTGCCTGTGCAGGGAGGGCACAAAGCAGCAGTGTCTGCACCCCACCTGCCACCTTTCCAATGCTACTACAAGATTTGCAAGAAGCACGAAATGGTCATTTATCAGGAACCATCTTTATTCTTAATAAAAAATATATTTATTATAGATAAAATAGGGCAGGGGAAAAGTGCTGCAGGCTCCAACGTTGCTCCAACATTAGCATCTCACCCGACTCCTCCCCGCAGCCATTGGCATCCCCAGTTGGGTTTCAGTGTTCCTGGAACTCAGGGCCTTCGTCCTCTCCAATCTAAATGCAGAGACATTTGACATGAACATGTTTTTGCAAAATGCAATACGTTCTTATTGACTCTGGTCACCCTGCTGTGCTCTAGAGTCAAAACCTCTTCCTCCTGTCTAGACTTTGGTCCTTTGATCAATACCCCCCCCCATTCCCTCCCTCTGCCACTCTCCGGCCCCAAATCACCATCCATCTACTGGCTACTTCAATGGGGTTAACTTGTTTAGATCAGCACTTCCGGGGCATCATGTGGAATTGGTCTCTCTGAGGTGGTGGAGATGCTGAGTAGTGGGATTTCCTCATTCCATGGTGCACACATCTATCTAATCCTCACAGTGCACCCCATGAATGTACAAGCATGATTTGCCAATTAAAGCAATGTTAATAAAGACAGGATAAATATAGTAAAATGCGAGAAGTACGGCTTCACTGCCTCGCCTACATGATTTTTGTCTTCAGCCGTGCAACTATGTTGGGGCGATCTTAATCTTCCTTTTCTTTGGTGGACAGAGACAGAAACATTTTAATAGAATGGAAAGGCATCTCCTGGCAGCCCTTGGGCAGCCCCAGCTTCTTACTGCCAAGACTGACGTCACAGCCTCGGGCTTCCTAGGAGGGTTTCAGGTGTCAGGGATTTTTCTGTGTATTCACCACCTGCTGGTGCTCTGCGTGCATGGGGAGACCACAAGGTGGTCCCCCTGCGGGCTTCACTAAAACTTCCCAGCTTCCCAATCTGGCTTCCTCTGCAGGCTGGCAGCTGAACTGGCAGGAATGGTGGTCTTCTGCCCTGACTGGAAGCTCCTCTGGAGCCTCATGAAGTCATTCACTAAGCCTGGAAACCTCACTAAAGATGTCTCTGAAGGGGGACTGGCCACCCTGCTACTCCTATGGGCAACCACGAAAGCTCAGTCTCCTCTATTGGGTAGCTACTGTACTGACTGGCAGTGAGCCGTTGCAAGGTCAATACACAATTTCAGGATGAGTGCAAGTTTCACTTCACCTGGACATGAGGCTGCAGAGCAGGGATGCTGCTGTCCTGGGTAACTCCCAGCACTGGAAAATGAGATCACTCTAAACTAAGAAAACAAGGATCAGGCAGCCGATCACTTTATCATTTCTGAATGCTGGGATTCTCCTGGCACTCCTATGGCACATTCCTCTGGATCATGTCTTTCTGGGCACACCACGAACTCTCCAAGAGCAGAGAATGGGGTCTTCAGCATCTTTCACCTGCAGTGCCTCAGAGTGCCAGGCCCACGCCAGACATGACACATTTGATAAATAAGTGAATGCAGTAATTAATGGATGGGTGGACCAGAGGGGTTCAGACTAGGTAAACTGGCTGCCTGAGTGATTATATCATGTAACATGCTTTCAGAATTCACCGAAAAAAAAAAAAAGGCTTTATTTCAAAAACTAATTCTGAAAAGCAGAAATGATGCTTCCCAGTGCAAAAGTGACTCAATCAAAACTGTCAAGTGCAATGATGCATTAAACTAATCCATTCAATCCCTCACTCATTCAACAAACACTTACTGAATCTTCATTACAGGCCAGGCACTATGCCAAGTGCCAGGGACAAGAAGAGAAAAAAGATGTGGTCCCTGGAGGAACCTGGCATCAATCACTTTCTCTAAGCTCCCTGTGTGGTTCCCATGGGCAGTGGGACTGGGAAGGACCTCCTGGGAGCCCCAGAGCCTGCAGAGTAACCGAGGGACACACACCGCACCAGGTCTGGGGGCCACCTGCTAACTCCTCTGTTCTTCTTCCAGTTTTCTCCTCATGCCTTCTCTCTTAGCCAGTCAGAATCCCAGAGTGAATTATTTATGGCTTTTTGCAACCACTGAATAATATTTTTGCTCCATACAGTTAACTTGCAAAGTCCAAAAGAAAAAAAAAACACTAGAATATTTTAGATTTGGCTTTTTCAAAAACGAAACCAGAAAATGTATTTATTTTCCACTGAAAACTCATCAATCCAAGAAGTATTTATTAAATGCATCTTGTATTTAGGACAACTTGGAAATCTAAGAAAATTTTAAAACTGTTCCTACCTTCTGTCTAAATTTTGGTCCTAAGTTGAAATTTTTTTCTATGGTTAAGTGGGTTTCAGAGGAAAAAGGACGCTCATCAGTCTCCTGTGTGGTGGTCTTTTTATAGTGAATAAAGCCTCAGGGCCTCACACCAGCTCTGACATACAGCATCTGTCAGCGTAGCTCCTAGAGGTTTGACTTCTCCTCATTCCATAAGGAGTCAACAGTTCTGGGCAGTCACTAGTTGGACCAGTCCCCACTTTGCCCAGGACTGAGAGCTTGGGAGAGTCCTCGGCAAACTGGGGCAGCTGGTCATCAAAGCAGACACCTCTCCTTTCGTTACCAAGTTCTTCTTTGAGACATGAGGATACTTAACTTACATACAGTGAAACCTGGTCATCAATCACGTCGTGAATTCAAAGACTTCACTGTAATATGATGATTCCACATGCTGCACACCAATGGTAATATTTACCCTTTTTGCTAGTTTGGAAAACATGCATTTTTCTTGGTCTTGTACCTCAGTCTCTACCTGATGGAGACAAACTCTGACAGATCTCAGGTACCTACAACCCCTTCCCCTACCCACTATCTAATATTCTTCATGGGACAACACAGCAGGGTTTCCCCTAGATTTCCTTGTTAAAGTGGAGTGAGACTCATGTACTAGCTCATATCTACTACTTCTTAACTTCCACTGTCCCAGTGGAAGGACTCTAAGGACTAGAGTTTGGGTTCCAGGACTGTGTACACATGCTTCAGAGGACCAGGCACATTACTTCCACATTTCACTATCCTAGGAGAAGCACCAGTAGGACACCTCATGGAGAGACTCACAGCTGATGGTCTTCATGGGACTACCGTGAACTCAAATCTCAGCTCTCCCACCAACGCTGTGATCTTAGGGCAGTCGGCAAATGTCTCTCTGATTCTCAGTACTGTCATCTGTGAAAGGGGATAAAATCCTACCTGCAAAGTTGGGAATGAAGATCAGAAACTGTACCAAAACACGAGACACCCAAGGGCCTGAAACATACAGTAAAACCTTAAGTTGGTACACATTTGTTAAAACACACACACACACACACACTCACACACTTCTGAGTGAACATCAAGTCTCTACTGACACAGACAAAAAGCAATTCTTCCTGTCAGAAACATTTCCTTTACATAGAAACATACAGTTTATTCAGTAAGAAACGAATTTTTTACCATTGGATTCAAATAAATTTTCTCCTCCCAAGCAATCTGATTGGGAGGGCACACCATTGCAGCATACATTTTATCATTATGATTATTTTCCACATTTAATACCACACTTCCTTCTCTCACATAGAATATTACCCAATGGAAGTCCCCAAAAGGCGCCATAACACATTCAAAACAAAGATAGGAAAAGAACTTTCAATGTCTGCTTTCCAATATGATGATTCAACTAAAACAAAGCTGAATTTCTCAGCTATGAAACTGAAAAAAATGAAAATCAGTCCAAGTGTACATCACGGCCAGCCATGATCATTAACACCTCCATGAAATGAGGGGAGAAAAGACAGAAACAATTGCTGCTTCTTACCAAACGTCTAACTAACTTTAAATTACGTTTTAAAGTTATTTCTCTAAAAGGCATTCTGCTTCCTTTTTGAGGCATGAACATTTGGGTGTCTTCTCAAGACCAGCCCCGGGCAAGCAGGTGGCACCTGTGAAACAGAAACATTCAGAAAACAGCAGCCCCTCTTCAACTCCAGGTACAGGAGACTTTCTGATTTTCAATCTTGGCTCAGGTCAGAAGAAAAAAGGGAAGGGTTACATTCCAAAAAAAACCAAAAAAATTGCAGCCTATCTGAGGGCATGTCTGATATTCAGTCCATTCAAGAGTGCATGGTTAGTCAGCTTGGTGCAGTGCAGGGAGTTTTCAGTGCCCTGAAACCATGGTCCCTCTACCTCCACGGTCCTCTGAGTTATTATGTCTGCAAACTAGTAACATCACAGGTCAAAGGGTCTGGGGCTTCCCAGGGAACCACCACGTCTGAGTATGTTCTGATTTGAGAAACCTGTGACAAGTCTTCTCGGCACTCATCTTCTGATGCTCGGCACCAACGCGTGCATTCCCCGCAGCCAGGTCACAGTAGCTGGAAATTGTGCTGGAAGGGGCGAAAAGCCAGCAGCCCAGAATGGACTGTCTCTGCAGCTCTGCAGCTTTGGCACCTTTTCCACACACTGCCACACCACTCAAATGTCCTATCAAATATTAAAACCAATAACCTGGACATGGCCAATTTATCTGTACAAAAAGGCTTTAAAAAAAATACCGCCTGCACTTTAAACAAGAAAAAAACTAAAGATGTAAACATCGCCTCTAAGTCACGGGAGGAAACCTTGAGCCTTTCATCTCATCTCTCGAATGTTCGGCAGTTTTGCTTGTTCTGCTTCTGTTGGAGGTATCAATCTGTTTTTCTCTTATTAATAGAGTTCAGAGTCTGAGGCTGCCTCTGCATATCAGCTTGTGGTTTCATTGGCAGAAATAGTATTATCAGGAGACTTATGATGTGCAAATAAAAGTACATGGACCTAGGGATGAAAATACACAAAAATTATATTTCAAATAAGGATGTACATGGGAACCATCACCTGATTACATCACCCACAGAACAGCAAGTGAGAGCACTGCTTCTGGCAGTAGGAGACGCGTGTGCACTCAGGCTTCCCTTGATCCGCTCCACAGAAACTCCCCTTGATAGGTGAGTGGGTCACAGATGAACTGAAACCACCAAACTGGGCAGTGCAAATCAACAAGCTCATCTGTGGATACACATGGTACCACCCCACTTTACACCACACCAGCCAGAGACCCCCAATATTCAAAGTCTAAGGACTCTCAAGACCAAATTCAAACCCAGTACAGTCATATAATACTAATGACATTTCAGTTAATGATGGACAACATTAATCTTATGGGCCCATAAGATTATAACAGAACTGAAAATTTCCTATCGCCTAATGACCTGATAGCCAATGTAATGTCATAGTGCAATGCACTGCTCACGCGTTTGTGGTGATGCTGGTGTAAACAATTCTATGCTGCCAGCTGAATAAAAGTCTAACACACATTACTACAAAAATACATAGTACTTGATAATGGCAATGAATGATTATGTAACTGGTTTGTGTATTTAAAATACTATACTTTTCCATTGTTACCTTGGAGTATGTATACGCCTTCTGCTTATAAAGAAAAATAGTTAAGTGTAAAACAGCCCAGGCAGGTCCTTCAGGAGGGATTCCAGAGGCACTGATGTCACAGGAGAGGACAGCTCCATGAGTGTTCATGCCCCCAGAAGACCTCCTGCAATGGGACAAGATAGATGGTGATCCTGATTATCCTGAGCTCGTGTGGCCTAGGCTGATGTGTGTTTATGTCTTAATTTTCAACCAAAAAATGTTTCAGAAGTCAAAAAAAATAGAAAAAAGCTTACAAAAAATATGAAGAAAAACGTTAGTGTATCTGTATCACGTTTGTTTTAAGCAAAGGGTTGTATTACAAAAGAATTCGTTTTTTAAATGCTTAAAGTTTATAAACTAAAAAAGTTACAGTGAGCTAAGGTTAATTTGTGATTGAAGAAATGTTATTTTAATAAATGTAGTGTAACCTAAGGATACAGCGTTTATAAAGCCCACCCGTGTACAGTGACGTCCCAGGCCTTCACATGCACTCACCACCCACTCACTGACTCACCCAGAGCACCTTCCAGTCCTGCAAGCTCCCTTCATGGTAATATAGGTGTATCCTTTTTTATCTTTGCCAGATTTTTACTATACTTCTTCTGTGTTTACATACACAAATTCTTACCATTGTGTTCAAATTGCCTACAGTATTCAGTACGGTAACATGCTATACCGGTTTTCAGCCTATGAGCAATAGGGTATCCCATACAGCCTCAGTGTATAGAGTAGAGTGTATCTCGGTTTGTGCAAGTATACTCTACGATGTTCAAACAACAATGAAATTGCCTGATGATGCGTTTCTCAGAACATATCCCTGTTGGTAAGAAAAGTATTACTGTATCCTACCCCCTCAACACAACGCAACTAATGCTTTAAACCCATTGCTCTACTGAAGTATAAATAAAAAGTTCTTATGTGTCTTATGAGCCCGAAGAATCCTGATTTTGAAAATCCAGTTCATAACCCTAAAAATAACTGTCATCTAAACTAATAAAAAACAAGTTTTGCTTTTGATGTTTGTGGACCTCTATTGCAAAGCGTAGTATTCGGCAGTATGTACAATGCAGATAGCCAATAAATGTTGGTCATATCAATAGATGCGAGTAATTAGAAACAGCTGCATTAGCATAGTTGTTCCAGATAACGTTTGGAACGATTAAACTTATACTTTCCCCAGTGCTTTTTAAGAATAAAGGAACATAATTTTGGGGAGGGAGGAAAGCACAATTGATTTATGAATCATCCCCCAGCTTCTGTGATTTCAAGGTCAGGCACATTAGAATCAGGTAACTCACATATGCCCCTAAGTTTCTCCATCCTTTAGCAGGAGGAATGCCTCCCTGACAATGTTTACAGAATAGTGAGGAGCTCTAACAGAAGCAAACATGCATGCATTTGTTTATTCTTTCAATACACATTTACTGCTTAGGATATGCAAAACAATAAACTGGATCTATGAAAAGGCATCAGCCTCCACCCCTTCCCATGTGAGAATGGAAACAAGGCAAGTCCACGATTAACAGTTGTTTAACCAGGGAAGGGGTACGCAGCCCCAGCAAGTGACTATCTAATTCACTGTCTAAACCAAGACATTATTGAGCATGGAAAAAGCGCTCCACAGATAAACACACTGGCTTAACAGGTATAGGCTGGGATTCTCATGGGCACCCCCTGGCTATAGGTAACTCCAGCTTTCAAAATCTGCACATCCAAAATATGTTATACTTTGCTCTTGAGCTTTCATATGTGGCCAGATCTACGCTGGAACAATTACATTAGGTAAAGTCCAGCTGCTTTGAGCATCAAGTGGAAAAAATTTCCCTCACCTAGTGACCTTTCATATTTCTCTGAAATTTTAAGGAATATTTCATCTGTATATTATGGAAAGGCTCAACTAACATTTATTGATCATGTGAGGCACTGACCTAAGGACCCAGATACAAAGATGAATTAGATGGGCTTCTGGCTCTCAAGCAGTTTGCCATCTATGAAAGTTTCTACACAAATTCTAACATTCTGGCCAGGTCCAGTGGCTCAGGCCTGTAATCCCAAAACTTTGGTAGGCCAAAGTGGGCAGACTGCTTGTTGTGTCCAAGAGTTTGAGACCAGCCTGGCAATACGAAAAAAACCCTATCTCTCCAAAAATAATTAGCCAGGTGCGATGGCACGTGCCTGTAATCCCAGCTACTCGGGGGGCTGAGGTGGGAGGATTACTTGAACCAGAAGGCAGAGGCTGAAGCGAGCTGAGATCACAATTGTGTCACTGCGCTCCAGCCTCAAGAACAGAAGAGACCCCAATTCAAAAAACAAAAATTCTAACGTTATTACACACTGAATTTCAGAAAGAGTTATCCAATCAAAGACAATATGATGTATGTAAATTTGCTTTTCAAAGTGATTTCACAGAAGGGTTCTTTCATAATTAAGTATTCACCTGGGGTCGTTTGCAATGTAAAGAAGTTAGACTGAGCACTCTAAGACTGAGATCAGAAGCCACTCGGGACTGAACAGTTAGGTCTAGACCTAACAACTAAGCACACGTGAAATTTCAATGATAAGCAATGAGGATACACTGGGGAAAGGGCTCGAGTACAACTGTGGTTTACTGCTAGCTACTGAATTTAGTCCAAGGGGAGGAACGGATCTAGAAAGGAACCAGACCCACCTTCACTAAAAAGCTATGCAATTTTGTTTCTTCACCAGATTCAGGGATTTTCTTAAAAGATTATGAAAACACTGGTGGAGGTGTAATCAATCTGGAATAGCTGCTGGCAACATGTGGCTGTTAAAATTCAAATTAATTAAAATTCAATATAACTGAAAATTCGGTTCCTCTGTCCCACTAGCTGCATTTCAAATGCTCAATAGCCACATGTGTTGGGTGGCAAGACTCTCAGATGGCACAGAGGTAGATCATTTCTGTCATCACAGAAACTTCTATTGGACAGAGCTGATCTAGACAGGAAACTTAAATTGCATAAATAACTAGACACCAGAGAAGACATGAGGTTGGATCACATAAAACAGACCTACTTGACCCAAAAAATGTCAACTCCTATTTCATCCTCAACAAAGGTGTTTTAAAAAAAAATATATTCGGGTTGTCTTTAAGAAGTGAAAAGCTACTTGATAATTTAATTCTCCCTTCTCCCCCTTGAGTTCCTGCCTAAGCCCAGCAATTGTCATGCTTTAGTTGGGTAAATGCACAGTACCACTAACAAACCATTTATTGTGATCCCCAAGCAGCAGTTTGCATCCCAAATAACTTCTCCTAAAGAGATTTTTAATAACTCCACTACCGATATTGCCATTAAGGGAACTCCGAGTCCGAAACTCAGGTTGAACATTTAGCTGTGTAAATTTCGTTACTCTCTCTGAGCTGCCACTTCTTCATATGACAAACAGGGATACTGACGCCTACCCGACTCTCTCCTCAGCTCACCTCCCTCCACCTTGGATTCCATGTTCTGCCTACATTCGCGTTTCTCTGGTCTTCAGTGCACAGAGCTTCATCCTATACTGTGAGGGGCTACAGGACGGGGCTTTTGCAGGCTGTTTCCATGTCCACAGCACTGCCCACCCACTGCGCTCACACACACTGAGCCTGCTTCACTCTCACTGCACAGCCTCCAGGACTGAGCTCAAAAAAAGGCCCCCAATGCCTAGGATGAGGCAGGTTCCTGTTACATACGCTCCTAAAACTCTATGCCATTCACTCAGAGCATGATCTCAGCATGTATTTATACATTTGTCAATTACTCCCTGTCTTTTCCGTCAAGCTATCGCCCCCATGAGAGCAGAGATGATTTCTATATTTTGCTTTCCATTCCAGCCCCAGCTTCTAGCACAATGCCTAGCACACTCCCGGTATTAAATAATACTAAGTAAAATACAGGCATTTCTGCTATAACACGATCAGTATATTCCTTCAAAGTCTCGTATGAGGCAGTATCATAGGCTTAGAATACCAGGGCTTACAGGGAAAAACAAACTCATGTAAGAATAGGTAACGCAAAACCTAGGAGGATTCTGTAACAAAACAGACCTCTAAGGGCAACAATTTGGACAGCTCCCGGAGACAACTCAATGGTGCCAAAGGCTGCTTCTGGGTATGTTAAAAATGCAGAAGACAAAAGGGCAAATGTTGGCTTGAGGGCGCTGACAAATGGGAATGAAACTGGAGCCAGAAGCATGTGGGGCTGCCGGGCACAAGGAGGCAGAAGCAGTCAGAATGCCGGCTTGGGGATGTGCCTCTCTGAGGAGGGAGCCTCAGTGAAGAGAGCTCAGTTCTATTTTCTTCATCTAGGACTGAACTGACTCCTACCTCTCTAGCAGCTGAACTGAGGGCTGCTTTTTGGCTGAAGATTATAATTCTCTTCCCACTCTTCTGGCTCCCCTTTGTATAGAGAAATTTGGGTATAGGCCAGGCACAGTGGCTCATGCCTGTAATCCCTGCACTTTGAGAGGCCGAGGTAGGTGGATCATCTAAAGTCAGTAGTTCGAGACCAGCCTGGCCAACATGATGAAAACCCGTCTCTACTAAAAATCACAAGAATTAGCTGGGTGTGGTGGCAGACACCTGTAACCCCAACTACTTGGGAGGCTGAGGCAGGAAAATCACTTGAACCCAGGAGGCAGAGGTTGCAGTGAGCTGAGATTATACCATTGCACTCCAGCCTGGGAGACAGAGCAAGATTCCTCTGTTTCAAAAAAAAGAAAAAAAAAAAAAATTTTTGAGTAGAAACCAGCACAGCTTTCATGTGATATTGACATAACTTCCTATCACCTAATTAGTAGTATAGAAGCATACATTGTAACAGAATGGACTTTATTGCTGAGTATTATATGGTTCCCTGCAACTTCTCTATGGCCTCAAAAAAAATCATCCCACTTAAAACTGATACACATAATGAGTAGTAAAAAAACTCTTCAATTCTTTCATGACCCCTCCATCAGCTATCAGGAATTCCGAACTTAGGAAGAAGGTGTGTTTGCATTGTTTATTTCTAAGTCACTGTTATAAAAATGATACTCTGTTCCAAAGTTAACCAAGAAAAGCCTGCACCACTCATTAAAAAATACAAGTGAGCATTTATTGGGTACAGACTAGATGCCAAGTACTGGCCTGAGCCATCTGCATGTGTACCACATTAATTCTAATATTCAGCACTAACAAGGTGCTCTGAGGTGAATTCTCTTCTCAGGCTCATTTTCCATTTGAGAAAACACAGGTAAAAGAGCTAACACAAGAACAGAAAACCAAACATCGCATGTTCTCACTCGTAAGTGGGCTTTGAACAATGAGAACATATGGACACAGGGAGAGGAACATCATACATGGGGCCTGTCGGGGGTGGGGAGCTAGGGGAGGGATAGCATTAGGAGAAATACCTAATGTAGATGGTGGGGTGATGGATGCAGCAAACCACCATGGCACATGTTTACCTATGTAACAGACCTGCACATTCTGCACATGTACTCCAGAACTTAAAGTATATATACACATATAAAAAAAGGTTAACAACTTGCCAAAGGTCACGCACAATCAGTTCACAAGAATGTGTGCTCAACCACTTCACTACAGTGGAGAAACAACAATCATAACTGTGAAACAATAAAAGTCAGCAGTTAGAGGTTTGCAATTCACCTGGAACATAGGTGTCTGACTATAAGGGTTAGTCTCTGGTGCCAACCGCTGCCTCTTCCAGCCTCAATTCCGCACACACCCCTCCAACACGTGCAAGTGGCAGCATAAATCCTCTACAGCCTCAGCAGGGAGCCTTTCTGCACACCACTTGATCAGGCAATGCCAGCCTCAGCAGCACCCCCCTCCTGCCTCCATTTCTGTCCCGCTCTCAGACGCCTTGTGGTCCCCAATATAGCCTACCCCCCCACCCCCGGAAAGAGAGCTCAGGGCAGGAAACTCACCGTTCAAGTTTTTAATCAGGGTCCATCTCTTCAAAATATACTGCCATGAGGGGCCCCCTGAGTGACATTCTGAATGGCTTAAGGGATTCCTGTCACCAGTGCTTGTATGTATTGGAATTTGTACACTGGCGTCTCCACAACAGCCATTTCCTCTTAAAGCTTCTATGGATGTTTTCCACACTGAAGCCCCATTTACAAGTGGTTAGGGCCAGGCACGGTGGCTCACGCCTATAATCCCAGCACTTTGGGAGGCCGAGGCAGACGAGGCCAATCACCTGAGGTTGGGAGTTTGAGAGCAGCCTGACCAACATGGAGAAACCCTGTCTCTACTATAAATACAAAATTAGCTGGGCATGGCTACACATGCCTGTAGTCCCAGCTACTCGGGAGGCTGAAGCAGGAGAATCGCTTGAACCCAGGAGGCAGAGGTCACAGTGAGCTGAGACTGCACCATTGCACTCCAGCCTGGGCAACAAGAGCAAAACTACGTCTCGGCAAAAAAAAAAAAAAAAGAAATGTTTAGGAGTGCTTCATTCAACTTACTGCCTCCTACATCGAAAACAGAGTAGTTTACTAGGTGGCAACTGAGAGCAGTGGAAACTCACTTGTATAAGCTGATGGTTGGTTCAACTGCCAACATCACGAAGGGCGCCACCGTGTAAGACACAGCCAGCTGAGTGACAGCCCAGGTGCCTGCGTCATAAGCAGCCTTGAGAGGTCTTGACGAAAGGAAATAATGTCTGTAGTTGTTCCTGACCTGCAAGTCAACACAGGCAACAGTAGTGAGAACGGGGTGAAAACCAAAAACCACATTTGACTCTGTGCACACAGATAATATGCCACAGGATCACAGGCTACAGAAGATAACCAACATCTGAGTTGTATTTTCAACTACAAATACCATCAGGAGTTGTATTTTTTAAGGCAGAGTCTTGCTCTGTCACCTAGGCTGAAGTGCAATGACGTGATCGTAGCTCCACTGCAGCTTCAAACTCTTGGGCTCAAGCAATCCTCCCACCTCAGCCTCCCAAGTAGCTGAGACTACAGGCACATGCCACCATGCCCAGGTAATTTTCAAAAATTTTTATGGAGATGTGGATCTCGCTTTCCTGCCTATGCTGGTCTCGAACTCCTGGGCTCAAACAATCCTCCTGCCTCGGCCTCCCAAAGTGCTGGGATTACAGGTGTGAGCCACTGTGCCTGGCCAACTTTTCTTGTTAAAATAATAATAATAATACATGTTCACTGTAGAAAAATGGTCAAACAACTAAACAAAAAAAAATTCTAACACCTCCCAAAGAAAAGCATCACTTAAAAAACTTGGCACACAACCACCCAAGCTTTTTCTATTCATATGTATCACTATTAATATTCTTAATGGCACCAATATAATTTCTAGCCCATTATTTTCCTTTAGTAATACGTCATGGACTTTTTTCCATGTGAGTAAATATTAATCTCCAATATAATTTCAAGTTACTTATGGAAAAGTTAGCTTGTCTTCCCATCCCATTTTGCTAATATAAATAATTCTGTGATGCCTTCTGTATCCTTGTAAATGAATCTCTGCCTGTTTCCTAGTTACTTCCTTCAGGTAATGATAACACAAAGACTCTTACTATTACTAACAATACAAGCAGCTACCATCTGCTGAGTGCTTACTCTGTGCCAAGCCTGTGTTAACGCTCTGCAGGCTCATCTCTGGATGATTCTCCCATCAAGCCTATGGTGTCGGCCTCATGATTCCCATTTTACAAAGAAACTGAGACTTAAAGAGACAGTTCTTTGAAATGGAAAATGCTGGGTTAAAGGATACACTCATTTGTAGGTCTTCTGACACATGTGACTAGACCTGCCTATAGAAAGACCCCCAGTTTCCAGACTCAGGTGAAAGGCAGAGCGGAAAACAATGACTGGGTTCTAGGCAGGTCAGCCCCAAGGCAGAAGATGCATCAGTGCCCAAGGCAGCCTCTCAGCCCTAAGTTCCTCAGGACGGAGACTGGGGTCCATCCATGGAGCAATGCTGCACATCAGGTATGGGATTTTATCGGGTAACTTCGAGGGCCTGAAGTCACTTTATGACTGTTCACTTCAGTCTCCTTCTAGCAATAAAAACACTGTTCTAACAACTGTCTCCTCGCTATCCCCCACCTAATTTATTTGCAGATGTTTCCAGTCCATCCAAAAGAAAAGCTCTCCACAAATCTGAGCCTTCATGCCAATGAGACAATAGAGCCGGACATCTTAGGGAATAATATTCTGGATATATTAGCAAACAGTTCTGAGTTTTATTTCTTAATTTGTCCTGACCACTTGTTCTCTAGTTTTATAATCTAAATAGCTATATGAACAGGAGAGAAGAAAATGTCTCCCATTTTCTATGTACAAAGACGTATGATATGCACTTAATTTCAGAAGTACACTAACCAGCATGAACAGTAATCCACTTTGTTCACATGTATATTCCAGCACACCTGTGTGTAACTAAAACAAGAGATCCTCAGAAGAGGGACTCTTTTCCTGTTCACTGTGGTAGCCCAGCGTCTAGAACACTGACCAGCACATAGGGGGACTCCTGAAACCTTAACAGGATAAATAGACTAAAGGGTGTGTGGATAGCTATGTGGGGATTCCTGAATTCACTCCAAAATATGGCTCAACCAATGTCAATAAGAACTCTTGGCATCAGAAATAAGGCAGGCCACAACCACAATCAAAGATCGAAATAAAATTAAATACAAAACTCCTATATTTGACAACGACAATGACTTCTAGGCATGCTCATCTCCGTTTTTTTTTTTTTTTTAACTTTAGGTTCTGGGGTACATGTGCAGGTCATGCAGGGCTGTTGCACAGATGCATACTGTATCTGGCATTTCTCCCCATGTTATCCCTCCCCGGGGAAGAATCAGTATCGTGAAAATGGCCATACTGCCCAGAGTAATTGATAGAAAGTGTTATTCTTCATTATCCTGCTCTCCAACAAGCAAACTGCAGAACAATTAGAGAAAACTACAGGCTCCTGAGAAAACCTAGAGAACCACATTTACAAAATTCACAAACACAAACTAGGCTAACTGGGCTGGGCATGTAAACACATGAGCTTAGATTAATCTCCAACAGACTCACTTCCTGCGGTTGCTATCTTGCTGACTGCTCAAGAGACTTTGTGAGTTATTTCTAGGCTCAGGGTAAAAAAATGAGAAATTAAGCAAAGTAGAAGCAAACGGAAGTCCTATGGTGCCTATATTCATCATCATCATCATCTGTAATTAGTAGACTGTATATGCTAACAGCCTTTAATTAAAACTGTTTTCATCTCTTAGGGTACTAAACATTGCTCCTAAGGTTACTTTCGCTTCAAAACATCTTCTGTAACTATGAGCATAAAATGGTTAACCATTTTTATAATGACTCCTGGTTCCTGCATATTGAAGTATTTCTCTAATGGGAAGACTCTCACATATTGTGTCATTTTACAAAACATCACTCCCCACTTCACATCCCGTCCCCAACTCCTACTAGGAGCCAACAGATAAGAAGCATGCAGGCATCAGATTACTAAGGGGAAGGACCCCAGGCCTAAAGGATGCTTACCGCTCTAGCTGCTAATGTGACAAGAATTCCAGTTAAGAAGGTAAAATAGTATCCAGGGTAGACACCATGCCACAAAGCAGACAGGATGAAGGTTAGCACCGTAGGGTACCATGGGACCCGCTCATAGCACACGCTGTGAAGAGAGGAAGGAACAAGACACAGGTGAAACGTACCAGAAACTTCTAACTACAGCTGCTGCTTCTTGGGTAAGACCACGCAGAAATCATTTGGTTCATTACCGATGGGATACCTCCCTAACCCTCTTCAGGGACTTGCCATGCAATCCAAGCAGCCTGGACTACCTTGGTTTCCGTAAGCATTACCAGATAGGCAATTCACAGCTCGGCCTTTTAAGGAGATGTTAAACATTTTTTATCTTCATGGATTAATGATCTGGACCCATCACACTGTATCTGTTACAGGTCTGAGTGATCACTTTCCACCCAGCAGGAGTTCCTGCTGTATAGACGCTTACCCCACCAATGGCCTCCTCTACAGGGGTGCTTAATTAAGTGCCACTGGCATTAACAATTTTGGAATCAGGGTCTTTAGAAATGAATGCTCTCACTTAGTAAAAATTAATTTACCTTTCCCACGAGGCTCCTATGCCATCTAACCTAATTAACACCATCTCCTTTTCATGTCTTTTGACAATGACTCCGTCACAAAATCAATGTGTCAGTTATGTGACCTCCTCAGGTCTCACAGTGTCCATCAGACTTCAATCCATGAATTTGCCTTAAAGAGTAACACTGTGACATTCTAACAGATGTCAGCAAATACCTGGAGGTTTGTGGCTCTCTGATTTCTTATTTTAAAAAAAATGATGGGGAATTTCCCCCAACACTCAGTCTGTGAATTGCCAATGGCCCTCTAAGGAAGCCACCACCTGGTTTACTAAATGAGAGGACCCAAATAAAAAATAAAATAGAAATTCAAACAGTTAACACCAATCCAGCACTGTATGGGTGGTTAACAGTAACTGATTTAAACACAACTAAGCACTACAGCTCCCTCTTTATAGGAAGAAAACGCATTTGCAGAGATAAACACAGGACTGAGACCCCATTTGGACACTGAGTGACTCAGTACATTGGGAGTACTCAGAATATAGAAATAGAAATTTATGTTAAAGTCATTTGCAAAATTAATTAATAGCAATAACGTTGAGGCTAAAATTGTTCAGATCAATTTTCAGAAAAATATTGCATGAGTTTACTCTGGAAGAATTACGACATATTCTGTCTCTTCTCTTACCCCAATGTTTTGACCCATGAAAGATGCTGCTTATCAAAACAGTAGAATCTGCTTTAAAGCATAATGTTTCTACACTCTCCCTGTACTCATTATGATAAGCAGACCACGAGGGAGAAGAGCCTGCTGCTTCAAGGACAGCATATTATTTCTATAGTAAGTAATGCTTTTAATTTTGGAACATGTAGGAAAACAAAAAGGGAGAGAAATATCAACAAAAATATAAATTTTAAAAGCATAAACATCTGGGATACAACAAAGCTTTTACTGCTAGGGGTGAACACTGCAATCATCAGTGATTTGAGGCAGACATTAACCTTCCTTGACATCTGAGTAACACTCTCCCTCCACGTAAAAGGCAGCACAGCAAAGAGGTCAAGAATCTAATTTTGGGCTGGCTGCAGTGACTCACGCCTGTAATCACAGGGCTTTGGGAGGCCCAGGTGGGTGAGTCATCTGAGCTCAGGAGTTCAAGACCAACCTGGCCCACATGGTGAAACCCCGTCTCTACTAAAAATACACAAAATTAGCCGGGTGTGGTGGCAGGCACCTGTAATCCCACTCGGGAAGCTGAGGCAGGAGAATCGCTTGAACCCAGGAGGCAGAGGTTGCACACTGAGCCAAGATTGTATCATTGCACTCCAGTTTGGGTGACAGAGTGAGACTCCATCTCAAAAAAAACCGATTCTAATTCTGAAACCAGACCGTTTAGGCTTGTATCTATCCCTTAGCTGAGTGACTTTGGGCAAGTGATATTACCTCTCTGGGTCTCACTTTCTTCATCTGTAAGATGTTTTGGGTAATGACTCACAACATCTCATGGGACTGATGGAGGATTAAACCAGGGCCTGATATACAGTGATGGCAGCATTCAGGAATATAAAATAAATATGCTATATTATGACCTTCTCAAATCACTGTATTTCTGCTTTTTCATTTCCAGGGCACAGATGTTAATACAAAACAAGGGTGTCAGATGACACTGCCACAGGCAGATTACCACTGTTCATCTCCTGACTCCCCTCCACGCATGTCCCAGTGCCCTACGTAATGAGGTCCTTTGTGTTCTTCTTACCACTTCAGCCAAGTAGCTGTCTGAATATTCCAGTTTTCCAAGTACATTTTGAAACTTGTGGCAGTCTGGAAAGAAGAAAACAACACCTATCATTAGCTTTAAAAATACCCCAAGTAATGGAAAGTTCTCCCCAGTTTCCCTGGCAGCAGGTTAGATACGGTATTTCAATACTGACTGCTCACAGCCGAGAGCAAATCAGCTGTTCCATCCTGCACAGGACAATGTTCTGCTGTTTATAAATAAGATCTACTCTGCAACTAAAACTTGGCTTGCAAGGTCTCCATTTTTTTCAAAATTTATTTTCAAATTACAGGAAAACTGAAGGAACATTTTGTGGGTTTCCTTTGTACTCTGGTTAATTTTTTTTCTTTTTTTGAGATGGAGTCTCGCTCTGTCACGCAGGCTGGAGTGCAGTGGCATGATCTCAGCTCACTGCAACCTCCTCCTCCCGGGTTCAAGCAATTCTCTGCCTCAGCCTCGTGAGTACCTGGGATCACAGGTGCCTGCCACCATTCCCAGCTAATTTTTTGTATTTTTAGTAGAGATGGGGTTTCACTATCTTGGCCGGGCTGGTCTTGAACTCCTGACCTCATGATCCACCCACCTCAGCCTCCAAAAATGCTGGGATTACAGGCATGAGCCGCTGCACCTGGCCAAAATTTTTTAAGTCATCTGAATTTTATAATTCAATATTCTCAAAGGGATTTGCCCCAGGAAAACTTTAATCATGGGAATTCAGTGCTTTTATGGGGACAGCTTAAATTTAATTGTCATCTTTTCACTATGTAGCCCTCTAAAACTCGGTCAATCTTGTACAGTTGACTCCATAAATAGCTACTCAGGTTCCAGTGCTTCCACTTGTTTCTGAACTAGTAAGAGATTTTATGCACAAAGTAATCACAATGCAGGAAAGGAAATAAATGGCAGTGACATAAGCAAATCAACCACTGAGGAAGGGACTTCCCCAAAATAAGCCATTCCCTGGGTTTTCTCATTCAAAAAAAAAAAAAGGTCTTATCCAAGTCTAGTGATAAAAAGCATGTAGTGGCCAGGCGCAGTGGCTCATGCCTGTAATCCCAACGCTTTGGGAGGCCAAGGCGGGCAGGTCGCCTGAGGTCAGGAGTTCAAGACCAGCCTGGCCAACATGGCGAAACCCCATCTTCACTAAAATTAGCTAGGCATGGTAGCGAGCATCTGCAATCCCAGCTACTTGGGAGGCTGAGGCAGGAGAATGGCTTGAACCCAGGAAGCAGAGGTTTCAGTAAGCCGAGATCATGCCACTACACTCCAGCCTGAGTGACAGAGCAAGATTCCATCTCAAAAAAAAAAAAAAAAAAAGCATGATGTAAACATATAAGGATCAGAACTCCTAGAGAAGGTAGAAATTCTAAGTGCCGGCCACGCGCAGTGGCTCAAGCCTGTAATCCCAGCACTTTGGGAGGCCGAGGCGGGTGGATCACGAGGTCAAGAGATCGAGACCATCCTGGTCAACATGGTGAAACCCTGTCTCTACCAAAAATACAAAAAATTAGCTGGCATGGTGGCACGTGCCTGTAATCCCAGCTACTCAGGAGGCTGAGGCAGGAGAATTGCCCGAACCCAGGAGGCGGAGGTTGCGGTGAGCCGAGATCACACCATTGCACTCCAGCCTGGGTAACAAGAGCGAAACTCCGTCTCAAAAAAAAAAAGTCTAAGTGCCACTTTTTTCTGCAGTGTCTTCAAGCTTAAGACAATCATATATGGGCCACACATTCAGCTACTGTAGTATGTTTGTAACAGAGGGAAAGAGGAAGGAGAGAAGAAAGGGAGGAAGGAAGACAGACGAAAAACAGATCTTTTTATTGTGAGTTTTTATTTCAAAACCTCAAGGAGCTTTATTTATCTGTTTCTTCTATGGCTAATAAAATGTTATAGGCCCAGCCTCGGGGTGTCTTAACTAATCAGACTTCCTTGTTTTTTTTTTTAGCTCCGCGTCCTATATCAAATGTGTGATGAAAATATAAACTTTCTCTTCTGGTTTTCTTTTATAATAATTTCATAATAATGATTCAGCCCTTTAACCTGAAGACATGTCCACCGGGGAAGGATTCTGTTTTTTGGCGCATAGCTAGGGGGACCGGTGGGCAGCTGAAGGTCAAGAGGGACCACCCTAAAGGACATTTACCCAACAAAACTTCAAGGCGGCCAGTCCATGAGTTTGGAGGGAGAGAAGAATTTTAGTGGGAAAAAGAGGACAGTCGTAACACACTTGAAGTTTCTCTCATATCATCTATATAGAAAAGAGAAGCTTACGGATCATCTGTAATACTTTTCCAAAACTGAGATAGGTCATTCTGAAAGCTGGAACTTGTCCACTTACGATGTGGTCCATTTTGACCGGGGACTGCTTCTTGCCTCACATGCGGCGACCAATAGGAAAAGCATTCTTTGTTCATTCAGAACTGATGCTGGCACTTGGCCATGCTCTTACAAGAGCTCTTACATCTGCCAAGCCTTTCCACCCACAGGAAGTTCCATAACTGTACAAAAATGAGTATTTTGCCCACAGTGGGCCCTCAATTAATAGCTGTTGAATCTGTTTGACCTGAGTAACCAAATAGCCTGAGTTGACGGTGAATATAAGATGCAATTTACTTAGAAAACAGAGAGACGCTTCTATTTCTTTCTGCTTGTTTGCCTTTTGAAGCAGAGCTGTCTCAATGCTAAGAAAAAAGAGAAGTGAAAATATAATCCTCCCTATAAATCCCACCATGTTTTGTAGTTGAAATGTAGGTTTCCCTCTGGAGGCCATCCACACGCAAAAAGCCTCAGGCAAATGACGGTGGGGGCTTCCCCCGTACCTCCTTCTGACCTAGTTTCCACCCAGTATGGGTGGCAGGTGGTCAATTTCCATCTATCTCTGGCTTCTTGTTCTACACACACAACCCCTCCTGCCCAAGCTCTAGTGGACTCTGTCTGCCCTGCGGCAGGTGGAAAACCAAAACCAACAGCAAACGTGAGTCACGTGGCCAGGAACCCAACACTTCCGCATGCTGAGAATCATGCCATTCCTCCCGTTCAGCTGAAGCGGGGAAGGGTCTGCGACTCGGCATTCCTGTCTACCTGCAGCGCTAGCAATGCAAAGTAAACCCAGAACGAGGTGGCCCCAAGGAGCTCACCTCTGATAATGACAGCAGACCAAAAACTGGTGCAAGAACAAACACAAGGGGAGAGAAAAACCACGCGATTCTAGCGGCCTAAAAGTTCTACATTATGACAATTCTTAAAAGCGAACGGATGATAAATGCCTCCAAAGGAACGACATAGAATGTCTGCAATATTGAAATCAAAATACAGGAGCTTCCAGTCTGCATTTGTCACTGAAACAGGTAGAAAGAGAACAAGAGAGAGATGACACTGGTACTTTCTACTTCAAAGAACAGGAACATAAACAATGAAAAGATTTTCCTGGCTCTTTTTTTTCAGATTTTTTGTGTCCTTCTTCCCTGAACCATTAAAACTGTCAAGAAAGTAGATAGCTTTAGAAAAAAAAAAGAGGAAAAGAATTCTGAGAGGCAAAATGTCCAGGAAGCTGCTGAGCCTGGCAAGCCCATGAGAGCGGCTTTTCCTCGGACACACAGAGAGCAAACCACTTGCTCTCCTCACTATGGAATTTGGACTCAAAAGCATCATCCATGCACTCACCTCGATTTTCCAGATGTTCAGGTTTGAAAGCAGATCCCAACAGAAATTCCCATTCTCATCCACTCCGCTGAACCCAAAGCCGGCTGCGTTATTCACTGCATCAGCTATGGTTTTTAAAATAACACATTAGGATATGGAGCAAAAGTCACATTGTTGCTTTTAAAAGGCACTAAATATCTGTCTAGCTTCACAATGGAGAAATACGCAGTAGTTTCCTTGGAAAAGGAACCCCAAAATGTAAAGGACCTGCTAACATTCTGAATCAGAAAAAACATATTTGGCTGTTTGGTAACCTTGATTTTTAGGCAGTTAGGGAACACCTGCTAAGGGAAGAGGGAAGAAGCAGATGTCCACAGAATGCAAAAATGAGAATCAACAAGAAATGAAGACCCAAAATGAATAAGTAAACAGTAGAATGACCAACTTGGCAGGAGGAGAGAAAAGAAAGGAGGTAAAAATAGATCTGAGCTCAAATACAGAGACCAGAAGAAAAAGGGGGCCAAGAAGGGGTCTCAGAGCTCTCACAAAAGATGGCAGGGCATGACCTAAGAGGCAGTGCTTAATCAGGAGAGCCGGCTCTGCAAGAGAGACTGGAGCTCCTTCTGGACGTGGTAAGCATGAACTGCCAGTAGTGTATCAGTTGGAGCAGCCAAGATGGGGTTAAAAAAAAGTTGGCTCACGCCTGTAATCCCAGCACTTTGCCAGGCTGAGGCGGGCGTAATATGGTGTCAGGCGATCAAGACCATCCTGGCTAATGCAGTGAAAACCCATCTCTACTAAAAATACAAAAAATTAGCCAGGCGTGATGGCACCCACCTGTAGACCCAGCTACTCAAAAGGCTGAGGCAGGAGAATCACTTGAACCCGGGAGGCGCAGGTTGAAGTCAGCTGAGATCACACCACTGCACTCCAGCCTGCCCGACAGAGCATGACTCAGTCTCAAAAAAAAAAAAAGTTTAGGTCCCAAGACAAAGGACAGAGCTAGAGATGTGACTCTGGGGGCAGCTGCAATGGAGGCCACAGATGGAAAAAGTCACCCCAGCCAGCCACCCATAAAAGTCCCTTTAAAAGCACCTACTTCCATCTTTCTCTTATGTCACTGATCATAAGAGAATGTCCCCCTGCCGGGAATATTTCATCTCTGTTCAATTCCTTAATGAACTCAACACACTTTTATTACGATGACCAAGAGGCTAATTGTGTCTTTCCACTTACTGTCTAAGAAAAAATTAACTAATCAAAATAGTTAAGTCATAGCACTGTGAAATCTTAGATCTGGAGGTCTTAGAGAAATCTTTCTTTTTCTATAAAAGTACGACTCTAGACGGCCTTCTGAAGAGCTGCTCTAAAGAAAAACAACCTGTCCTATGTCTGTCTCATTGATATTTGGCAGAGCTGATGATTTAACACAGCTGATCTTACTCGTGGCTTCACTGTAAGATGATCTGGTTTCTTTCATTAGGAAGTGTGCAAGAGACCGAGTCCTTCAATGTCATTCTCCCCCTGCCAACTGGATGGGAACCCAGTAGAGAAGAAAAAGACAAAGTGGGGTGTGCCTGTAAGAAACGAATGGTTTTCAATGTGTGGGAACCCATTCATGAGTGATAGAGATCAATGACACTAAGGGCCTTGATGTCTGTGTTAATAACTAAAAGCAGAGCCCGGCTGAGCATGACTGGGACCAGCATGGCCGCTTCTAAATCCCTTCTTCCAACTCCAGCCTCATTTCTGGCACATCTGGCTAGACCTAAGAGAAGAGAATAATGATAACTATCGTGGTGTGTGTGTGTGGTTTTTTTTTTTTTTTCAGTGCTTATTATCTTTCCAGAAAACACTTTACAGGCAATTCCTCATTTAATCTTCACAATAGTGTTAAGACAGAAGGTTAAGGATGGGCCCCGGAGGGGCAGCGGGGGAGACTAGACAGGTTTCTACCAGCAGTCAACAGCATACTACATACGTGAGCCTGGGAGAAGAATCAGCTAATTTCTAGAAACCTATTCCCTTGAGCATAAAATGGACATAATAATGGTACCCATTTTAAAGGGCTTTTGAAAGGATTAAACAAAATTAAATATGCATGCAGTGCATAGCTCAGTCCTGGCCCAAGTCCACACTCAAAAAAGTTAGCTGCTAGTATTATCATTATTATGTCACTAAGGGGACTGAGACTAGATGTATTAGGTAAGGCCGAGGTGGGTGGATCACCTGAAGTCAGCAGTTCGAGACCAGCCTGGACAACATCTCTACTAAAAATACAAAAATTAACCAGGCATGGTGGCGGGCACCTATAATTCCAGCTCTTCGGGAGGCTGAGGCAGGAGAATCACTTGAACCCAGGAGATGGAGGTTGCAGTGAGCCGAGATCCCACCATTGTACTCCAGCTGGGCAATAAGAGTACAACTCCATCTCAAAAAAAAAAAAAAAAAAAAAAGATCACGTAGCTTGTCAACAATGCCAGAATCAATCCTAGAACTCAGTTCCACAACCTGAGCAGGTAAGAGCCACCTTGAAAGAGAAAAATGGTGAAAGGTCCCAAGTGCTGACTCTCAGAACCACCCTGAGCCGACGTCGCACTCCCCACTTCGCCTAGTGATGCACTCCCCGCTTCGCCTAGTGATGCACTCCCCGCTTCGCCTAGTGATGCACTCCCCGCTTCGCCTAGTGATAACTCATTTATCCCAGCCTGATTTTTGTCTCAGAGCAGTGACGGGCTCTGTGTTTGCCAGTCCAAAAGTGGTTTTACTTGAACTATACATGGCTTTAACTTACTATTACAGATAAATTAATTTGTACCCCATATGTTGGACTGTCTGGTCCTTAGAAAACAACCTGGACTCAAGTCTTGCTAAGTGGTACTAGTACTAAGTAGTAGGGGAAACAGCCAGGACTATACACTAAGTCCAAAAGAAACAGTTTGATTATTTGAATATAAACAGTACCTAGAGCTAGGCTAACACACTCAGCTCAGTGGAGATTCATCAAGAGGCCAGCTTTAAGGATTAAATTTATAATCATGTGTAATTAGTATATCAATTATATGTAAATGGTGTTTTAAAGAGAGCTGGAGAAAACAATTATTCGGTTAAGCAGTTTAAATATTCCCTGACACACTATTCATTGCTTCTTTATTCACAAACAAGACAAAGGTTAATTTCGGACCAGCCCATGCAATCTAAATGGTAACAAACTTTAAATTGAGGCCATACGAATTAATGAACTGTTTCTACTGAAGCTACCCAAAAAATATAAAGAAAAGGGAAGCATGGGGGGAGGAGAGAAAGAGCAAAGTCCACAGAGCAAGCTCTCCACAGGAAGGGGTACGTCTACACTGTACGCCACATGTCTAGGGAACTCCCCAAAAGGGTAGAAAGGTGAGGCACCCCCTGTTCCCGTGACACTTCCCAGTCCAGGTCCCGGCTGGCACAGCCTTTCTGGCCTCGGACTTTCCCTATGGAATGGAATGGCCTTTCTTTCCTCCTGAGCTTTCCTCAGGAGCTCATTTAGTCCAGAAGCCAGCCCTTAAGCCCTGGGATACAGAAAATGGGAGCCAGAGGACAGGAAGAGGGAAGAGAAAGGAAGGTGGGTAAGGCAGCAACAGACAGGGGGAATTCTGTATATTCTCTCTCGCTCTCTCAGTCCCCTACACACACGGGGGAATTCAGTATATTCTCTCTCGCTCTCTCTCAGTCCCCTACACACACGGGGGAATTCAATATATTCTCTCTCGCTCTCTCTCAGTCCCCTACACACACACACTCACTCAGATTAGAGCAAACTAAAACTATTAATTATTTGGCCAGGCACTGTGGCTCATGCCTGTAAACCCAGCATTTTGGGAAGCTGGGGCAGGTGAATCACCTGAGGTCAGGAGTTCCAGACCAGCCTGGTCAACATGGTGAAACCCCATGTCTTTCAAAAATACAAACATTAGCTGGGCATGGCGGTGCCTGCCTGTAATTCCAGCTATTCGGGAGGCTGAGTCAGGAGAATCACTTGAACCCGGGAGGCGGAGGTTGCACTGAGCCCAGACCATGCCATTGCACACCAGCGCAACTGCATCTCAAAAAAAAATTATTTCACATAGAAAAAAAAAAAAGCCCAATGTTTCAAGGAGGGTTCCAACCACAGCAGGTCTAATGCCTACCTGCTAAAGAAGTCATCATTTGTAACTGCAGAAGAAGAAATAAGATAAAAGAAGACTCCATGACCAGTCCATACCCATCCTTTCCTCCTGACTCCTCCCACTCGGACAGCTTGAAGAGTACTGCCTGGTGGCTGTACATGTCTGTGTTCCCAGCCATGCAACAATCTTGCGGTAGAGTCAACATCTTACCTTTCAATTCTCCTAGCACAGAATCCGGTCCTCAACAAAAACCCCTTGAATTACATTGAAAGCGTCCAGAAGCAAAATTTCCCTCATTGCAAATTTTACAAAAGCTCTAAGTCAGATCTCTCCGGCCAAACGTCACATAACTGCAGCACCGGACTGAACTTATGCAGGAACACTGTGGCCCTTAAAAATAATTTGGACTGGAGGAGGAAGGAATGGGGAGTTACCGTTTAATGGGCAGAGTTTCTATTTGGGTGATGAAAAAGATCTCTGAAGCTAAGACAGTAGTGATGGTGGCACAGTATTGCGAATGAACTTAATGCCACTCAAGTGCACCCTCAAAAATAGTTAAAATGGTAAATTGTATATGTATCTTGCCATAATGAAATTTTTTTTAAAGACAGAGTCTTGCTTCCCCACCTAGGCTGGAGTTCAGTGGCACAATCTCGGCTCACTGCAACCTCTATCTCCCCGATTCAAGGGGTTCTTGTGCCTCAGCCTCCTGAGTAGCTGGGATTACAGTAGTGGGGACTATCCCAGTCATTTTTTGTGTTTTTAGTACACAAAAACATGTACTTTTTGCCATGTTGGGCAGGCTGGTCTTGAACTCCTGGTTTTGCCATGTTGGGCAGGCTGGTCTTGAACTACTGGCCTCAAGTGATTTGCCTGCCTCAGCCTCCCACAGTGTTGGGATTATAGTCATGAGCCATTATATCTAGTCAAAAAAATAATTTTTTTTTTGAGACAGAGTCTAGTTCTGTCACCCAGGCTGGAGTGCAGTGGGGCAATCTCGGCTCACTGCAACCTTTACATCCCAGGTTCAAGTGATTCTCCTGCCTCAGCCTCCCAAGTAGCTGGAATTACAGCCGCCGGCCACCATGCCCAGCTAATTTTTGTATTTTTAATAGAGACAGATTTCACCATGTTGGTCAGGCTGGTCTCAAACTTCTGACCTCATGATCCACCCACCTGGGCCTCCCAAAGTGCTGGGATTACAGGTGTGAGCCACCATGCAGGCAATCACTTTTTTTCAAAAGTAATTTGGTACCTGCAAACTTTAATTGAAACTTTAACCTTGAAGCATGAACTGAGAAAGAAGAGGAACTCAAGCCATTAAGTGCCATTCCCTCATCCGTGGGATGTGGGCTGAACACTTGGAAACCAAGTTTAATAATCTAATAATCCAAGTCACTGCTCTCTGACACCAAGTGCAGGTCATTTGCAGCTAAGATGCCCAAATCCTATTCCTAAAAGGGTTCCGGTGTGACAGATAGGGCTTCCATGCTTTTCAACACCCTTTCCCAGTCTCTACGGACACAGACGGGTTTACAGCTCATGTTAGCAATGCTTTATGCAACAGCAGTCTAAAATTGTTTGAAAGGAAAGAGATAAAAGCCTAACATGAACCAAGTTATCCCACAGGGGGGAAAAAAAGGTGTGATAAAACCAAATGAAGTTGAACTTTCTACCTAAAAAAATAAAAAAATCAGGCTGGGCGCAGAGGCTCATGCCTGTAATCCCAGCACTTTGGGAGGCCAAGGCGGGTGGATCATGAGGTCAAGAGATCGAGACCATCCTGGTCAACAAGGTGAAACCCCGTCTCTACTAAAAATACAAAAAATTAGCTGGGCATGGTGGTGCGTGCCTGTAGTCCCAGCTACTCGGGAGGCTGAGGCAGGAGAGTTGCCTGAACCCCGGAGGCGGAGGTTGCGGTGAGCCGAGATTGCACCATTGCACTCCAGCCTGGGCAACAAGAGTGAAACTCCGTCTCAAGAAACAAACAAACAACAAAAAAAAACCCAGCACTTGAAGTCAGCTTCTTTCTAAGACATAAAAACCTAACTACCAGTTCCTTAAACAAGTATAACCTAAATTACCATGTGTGCCAGTAAAATTAATTCAGGGGCCATCCTATATTACATAAACCCCAGAAAAATTGCAAGAAAGCCAGATCATTCCAGAATTTCCCCTCAATGTCCCATTGCTTTACATGGCTGGCTTTGACTGGTAGAAGGAGAAGCTTCCAAGTTTTGACATCTGTTAATAACATTGGGTTTGAACAATAGCCAGGATGTGTTTCTCCTTATCGTGGAGAACTGAGTTCATCCGGGGCCCGAGAGAGGAGTGCTATGCTGGAATGTTAAAAGTGACCCTGGCTCAACTGCCTCCCATTACGTGTTGAGCTTTTTTGATCAGGTGATCTAAAATGTTCTGGGGCTAAGCCATCTGAGGAGCAGCATTTTTCCCTCATTCATTTAGGGCTGCTCCACACTCCATGAAACTTACCTAACGTCCATGCAAAGTAATACTTGGGCTTTGAGGCTTGCATGACAACATATAAGTAGCAGAGCTGAGCCGGAAAGCCCGCTTTGTGGATAAACCAGTCATCAACAAGGCAGGTGACAGGAAAGGTCTTCGTGAGCGTCAGAAACAAAAGGAGAGACACCAAGGTGATGCATAACTTGTGTATCACAGCTCCCTGGAATGGGAAATAGGGAAAAATCAGTGTCACCATTCAGAAGCTCAGGTATGAGGAAAACTTTGCTTTGGCAAAGGCACGTTAAGGACCATACCGCTCCAACAGCTGGCTGGCATTATTTCTTAGAAGGAGGGCAGCAGGTGTCCTTTCTCATGACACACATCTGACAATGGAGCTTAGGTGCTGTGTTTAGATACAGAACATGCCTCTGACACTTGAGGGTTAGATTGGAAGAAAACCCCCATCAGCATATTCAGTCAACAAAATGTAAGTACTTTCATTATCCAAAACACAAGAGAAATAAATAACATGGTGGCAAGTTTCCATTAAAAAAAAAAAAAGAAAGAAAAAAGAAAAATATTTGCACATTTACGTTCCATTCCTATGACCAGCAGAGCCCAGGAAACAGGCTTGAGTCACCAGTAGGGAAGATAGAGGCTCAGGTGTGAAGGATTCTGTGCAATTGATTGAATACCTGGGCCAGGACATGGACAGGTAATGGAGAGCTTCAGAAAGCCCCCCAGGATGGTTTAGATGTAGTCTACTCTGGGTTAATTACGTGCTGGCTTTTTAAATTCCTCTGGACAGAGTGATTTCACCCAGTTTCCCTGACATTTCAGCAAACGTCCTTCAACATTCGACTGAACTGTAGTCTCCCACTTTATTTAAGAAAAAACAAACAAAAAAAAGACTTCCATTGGTAATATGGGCATAGCAATAGCACCTCCCTCAGAGGGCACCTTGGGGTGTAAGTGAATGAGTGTTTACAAGGTCCTGTGAATAGTGCCTGGATCCCAGTTAAGTGCTTAGCATGCTCAGCCACAATTACAGCTCTACCACTGACAGGCACCAGCTCACGGACCCCAGGCCCTTTCCTAGCAGTACCTCTTGATGCAGACATTCCTCACCACCTCACCTTATCCGTGCACAAATATGCAAGAGTTTCCTTGCAGAAAGACTCTCTGATGCCATTTCTGTATAAATAAAAGCACGTGAAGCGTGAAAACACTAAGGTGACAGATACAGTCTAGAAATGCGGTAACTTTGGTGTCTCGCAGCCATGGTGACCTCACCCCTAGATCCTTTCAGTAAAGTGGACGAACTTGACGAACCAGACGAACCATAAAGTGCTGAGAACCTAACTATGTCAAATATGCCCCAGAAACTGGGGCAGGAGGGTCGCTTGAACCCAGGAGGCAGAGGGTGCAGTGAGCCAAGACACGCCACTGCACTCCAGCCTGGGCGACAGAGTGAGACTCCTTCTCAAAAAAAAAATTTAATTAAAAAAAATCAAAACTAAAAAAAAAAAATCTAAAACCTCATACCTAATTAATAAATCACTTAAGTTTTCAAACACTTAACTCCTATTTTTTTGCCAAGACTTCAGCACTTTCAAAATATTTAACTCCAATTATCCTCATTTCCTTCCTTTTCCAATTTTCACCACTCCTTTCATTAATTACAAATGTCCCTTAAATATAGGATATTTGAGCGGAATAAATTTAGCATATTTGTAATGAGTCATCCTAATATTGACTAATTTGGGATTGATAAAATTTGGGGCCGGGCATGGTGGCTCACGCCTGTAATCCCAGCACTTTGGGAGGTCTGGGCAGGTGGATCATGAGGTCAGGAGTTCAAGTCCAGCCTGGCCAAGATGGTGAAACCCCATCTCTACTAAAAATACAAAAACCAGCCAGGCATGGTGGCAGGTGCCTGTAGTCTCAGCTACTTGGGAGGCTGAGGCAGGAGAATTGCCTGAACCCGGGAGGCGGAGGTTGCGGTGAGCCGAGATCGCGCCATTGCACTCCAGCCTGGGTAACAAGAGCGAAACTCCATCTCCAAAAAAAAAAAAAAAAAATGAGAACAACAAGTTATTGGCCAAGCTTTCTGGTAAACTGTTTGGCTTTTTAATTAGAACCATTATTAGACAGAGTCAACCCTGGCAGCAAAACCGTATTCTCTAAAAACTTACTGTGGGAGAAGGTTCTGGCAAGCTGTGGAAACCTTTTTGCTTCCAGTTCACTTCTAGCAACTTCATGTGTATATGCTTCCCCTCGATGAAGGCTACGTAGTCCTTGTAATTGTTACAAGGACCAGCTATGACACTCATGAAATTGAGAAGGTAACTCAAGTATTCCAAAAAAGAGGGTTTCACTCTGTGAAAAATACATAAATTGAAAAGGCTTCAGTCTTTGCTTTTTCTTCAGAATCTGTAAATAACCAAACACAAATGTTATCTCTGTAGATTGTGATACATGACATGACCTTTTCTCGTTTTGTTTCTGTAAAGTCAGCCTAGGAGAAATCTTGGAAAGGAAAGGTTGAGGAAGCAGGTGGCTCACTGCAGGGGCAGAGCTCCATGCCGCCCTCTGCTGGCCATGTGCGGCTGTAGCCACTCAGTGCAAGTGCAACTCAGGCTGGGAAATGTCCTTTTCTCATCGACCCTCCCTGTCTTCAGGACAAAAGGAAGGCGATAAACATAAAGCAGGGTGGAACCTGACCTAATGTTAGCTGATCAAGATGCTTCCCAATGGGAAAAGTCCCTCCCAATTGCCAACATAAATACAAAGCAAATGACGGGTGGAACCAGTTTCCGCTGGAAGAGGCCACACAGAAGAACCTCAGTCGCAGCCTGTTGTCTGCTTTGGCAACCAGAGCTGAGTTCCTGAGCAACAATCCAGGGTAGTAGCAGAAACATGTCTGTAGAGAACAGTTCTGTGTAGTGCTTTTATGGCATTTTGGAAGGCCTGTTCTAGCAAAATAGAATCAAGGCTCCCTGAAATGCCATGCTAACCAGTCACTGGAATCATCCCCTAGAGCTGGGTTAGGGTTAGGGTAAGGCTCAGACTGGTATTGGTCTGTGTCCTGTTAGGAACCGGGCCACACGGCAGGAGGTGAGCAGCCCGCGTGTGAACAAACAAAGCTTCATCTGTATTGACAGCCAGGCCCCATCACTCACATTATTACCACCTGAGCTCCACCTCCTGGCAGGTCAGCAGTGGCCCTGGATTCCCAGAGGAGCGCAAACCCTACTGTGAACTGCATACAAGAGGGATCTAGGTTGTGCGCTCCTCATGAGCATCCTGAAGATCTGTCTCTGTCACTGCTGCCCATCACCCCCAGATGGGACCATGTAGTTGCAGAAAAACAAGCTCAGAGCTCCCACCATTCTACATCATAGTGAGTTGTATAATTGTTTTATTATATATTACAATGTGATAATAATATAAAGTGCACAATAAATGTAAGGCACTCCTGAAACCATCCCCCCCACCACCCACAATCCTGAAGCAGTAGAAAATTTGTCTTCCACTAAACTGGTCCCAAACAGGTTGGGGACTGCTGCCCTATCTCATTTGCACCTCCGCTGTGCTTAGCAAAGAGCTGATTCATTAGAATCTTTCAATAGTGCTCCACTGCTTTCAAGTCCTAATTCCTTAAGGCAAGACTGAAGAACTCAATCTCCTCTACCACCTGGGACCATCCTCACTTATGCCAGTTGTCCCTGATTCTGTGCAGCAGGACCACCACCACCCACCACGGCTGCACCCGATGTGCTACTCCACACGCCATCTGTACTCTCAGATCAAAGTTATTCCCCTCCCACTTCCTCTCCTCCACTCCCCCTTCCTGCTGAACATGAACACTGGCAAAGCCACCTGCAGCCCTCGTCCTGTGTTTAACTCAGCTATGCTCACTCTCCTGCCCGACTTCCTATCTCTTTTCACAATGGCATTTAATCACAATGACATTGACCATTCACTATTCTTTAGGACCCCCAAGACACATGCCCAGTAAAAATACTTCTGGAGTAAACATAGCAGCCCCAGGGAAGGAGAACCTTGCAGAGGTACAGTTCTATTTACTCTGTGACCTAACAATTCTACTTCTGAGAATCTATCCTACATTCCTACCCTAACACATTTAAAAATGACCTAGTACAAGGTTATTCACCACTTAATTATTTGTAAAAGCCAAACACTGGTAAACAATGCAAATGTTCATCAATAGCAGATTCACAAAATACATATTATATGCATATAACAGAATTAATGTGCAGATATTGTTTAAATAAACACATTGTTAAACTTCACTCACTTGATAGCAAGTTGATGTTGTTCAGCAGAAAGGTCTTCAGCTCTTCGACCTAATCCTGTGAAAAAGAAAACAATTTAGAAATGAAGTGTTTGAAGTGAATTAGATAAATTCTAAAAGGGTCTCATCAAAGTCATTTGAACCAGGTAATCTCTGTTTGCTTCATAAATCATAAAGAGTTCCTCTTTTTCATTTTTAAAAATGCCCTGGACCAAAAGAGCTACCCATAAGTACACGTGTGAGAAGCAGACTCTCTGGTAGGTTCACATGGGGAGGGAAGGATTCAAAGGTTCCTCCTACTTAATCTGCACAATATGACATGGACCCAGGGAACCCTCCCCATCTGCTGCAGCTGGGAGTTCCTTGCCACTTTGTATCTCTCTTCCCTGATAACATCAGAGAGATCATCTTGCCTTGCACAGGCTACCCCGGCTTAAACACTTCCCTGGCTGTGCTTGGTGCAGACACCGGGTACAAGCTGACAGCCTGGTTGTGGGACATAGTGGAAAAAGAAATGGGAGACGTTCTTCTTTAAAAAAAAAAAATCGGGGAAATGTAAATGCAATCTAGAGTGTGGGAAAATTACAAAGGAATTATCAGAGTTTTCTTCTTTTTATCATTCGTCTGTAGCAGAAAAACTCCCATCCACAAATCACATCCATGTTTCTGTGAAATTTACACATTAACTAAGCTTCAAAGACACTGAAGTAATATCTTAAAAGCAATATGTCAACTCTAAAAGTGTATATTCAGCTGAGGCTGAGTACAGTCACCAACCAGGAAGGCAATTCGAAACCATGCCTAAGAGGAGGCAGAGTATTTCTGGAATTCACTTGTTCCTCCCACACACCAGAAAAAAAAGAAAAAGGCAAGTAAACATTTTGCTGCATTTAAGGCATGTTCCAGAAAATATGGTAAACTGAGAATGCTTTAAAAAGTAAATGTAGGCAACAAGGCTGCTTACAAAGAAAAAAGAAGCCGAGTTTTTAAAAGGGTATTTTTATAAGATCTCATCAAATAGTAATCTCTGGCACTCCTAGAAATTAAACTCATTTTAGCTATTGACTTTGGTTGGGAATGTCTATAACCACTACCAAGGGGAGTTTCCAGTTATAAACAGAGTGACCAACTCACCCTGGTTTACTCAGGACTGTGATTCTGGCACTGAAAGTCACATCTCATGAAACCTCTCAGAACTGGGCAAACCAGGACGGTTGGTACCCTAGAAAGACTCCATCCTTGGTATGAAACTACTCGGTTCTCTATAGAATGACTGAATCACCAAGTATGAACTAGGGATACACTGGGTCAAATGAAATTAAATCAGTTTACAAGCTTTAAGTGAAAACAAGAAAACTAGCTATCAGAGATAAATTTCAGCCTGTCAACATATAAAGAAATGTCAACAGTCAAGAAGTGCTTGTTGGAGCAGCAAAAATCCTCAGAATATACTTTTACTAATTGACCTGGCATCTCTAAAGCCCACATTGAAATCTTCCGCCCAGCTGAAATAATCTTCCTCCCTTCCTTAGAACCCAGTTTGAACAATGTAAATCACACCTTCTGGCCAATTTTTAGTTAGTGCCTGAGTGAAGAAAATGTTCAGTTTTATACAAACAGAAGATTCTTCACTTTCCCTGTTTTTTATAGGGAATTATCATTGATAGTTTTCCAAGCCAAAAAAAAACCAACCTAGCATTTAAAAATGATTAACCAGCCAATACTATTTAATCTTTCATTACCTTGTGAGCTTCTCAGAGATCAAACCAAAGCAAACAGGATGGCGTTTCTTTTTAAAAGAATTTAAAACAAAGGGCACAGAGTGTCACAAATTAAATTGAAAACACTGCAAAGATAAACAAAAAACACAGAGTTCTCAGTACAAATATGTCAGCAAATTTAGACTGCTGACTCCACAGGAACACAGTGAATAATGGCTGGAAAAAGTGAAAGGCTATGACTGACGAGGCTCGGAAATTTTGAACAAGACAAAGCAAGTTCCCAGCATCTGTGTAAACTTTGGACTGTGCACACAGTATAAACTGAGCTGTGCAGGTCAGGCTCATCCTGAGAACCAGAAGGAGGGCTGCTGTTCTCACCATCGTGAACTTGGAATGCCAAGGTTGTGATCTTCTGGGTGACAATCATCAGAGGCCTGGAAGGAAGACAGAAAATAATCAAGATTGGCAAGAAGGCTGTGGATGTGGTCCGGCTGTGCCCCACCCAAATCTCATCTCGAATTGTAGTTCCCATAATCCCCACATGTCGTGGGAAGGACCCAGTGGGAGGTCACTGAATCAGAGACAGCTACCTCCAGGCTGCTCTTGTGATAGTGAGTGAGTTCTCACAAGATCTGATGGTTTTATAAGGGGCTCCCCGCTCCCCCTTCACTCCGCACTTCTCCTTCCTGCGGCCATGTGAAGAAACCATGTTTGCTTCCCCTCCACCATGACTGTAGGTTTCCCGAGTCCTCCCCAGCCATGAGGTGCTGTGAGTCAATTAAACCTCTTTCCTTCTTAAATTACCCAGTCTTGGTATATCTTTACGAGCAGTGTGAGAGCAGACTAATACAGCCATTGGAAAGAAACTTTTATTCTGTTTCTCCGGATGGTGGTTTTTCATCTCAAAGTTCATTAAATAAAATGCAATCATAATGAATTCTAAAGAACCCACTTTTCTTTCCCTTTGAAATCACTTTACACAGGTAGATCCAACAACACTGAGTAACAAGCTCCCGCTAGACTCTCTTATGCTGTTACTGGGTGTGGCCTCTGGACCAGCACCACCAGCATGTGCAGCAGCTGGTTAGAAAGGCAGACTGCATTCCAGACCTAGAAAATGAGAATCTGTATTTTTTTTCACTCTGTTGCCCAGGTTGAAGTGCAGTGGCATAAACATGGCCCACCGTAGCTTCAACCTCCTGGGCTCGAGTGGTCCTCTGACCTCAGCCTCTCAAGTAGTTGGGACTACAGGTGTGTAGCACCACTGCCGGCTCATTTTTGCACTTTTTGTAGAGACTGGGTCTTACTGTGTTGTCCAGGCTGGTCTCGAACACAAGCTCACGTGATCCTCCCACACCAGCCTGCCAAAGTGCTGGGATTATAGGCATGAGCAACCACATCCACCTGAGAACCTGCATTTTAACAAGAATGTCAGGAAATTCATTCTTTAAAATGTGAGAAGAGCTGTTTTCGGAGATACCTAATCCAGTGCCCTGATTCCAGCTGGATAGACAGATACATGGGCCCCTTCATCTAAAAATGCTCTACTATGCTTTGTCCTACAAAAGTCAATTCTTCCATGCAAATGAAGTAGAAGATACATTTGTAAAATGCAGCTGCCTGTAAATAAACCATTTATTGACCAACAATAATGCAAACTTTAATTTGGAAAAAGCCATCAAATAAAAATTTGCCTGAAAAGTGGCACCTGTGTCAACAAGGCTGCCAAGATATCTTAATGAGGAGAAGAAACGTCTTTTTAACAAATGGTATCGGGACAATGAGATGTACATGAGAAATAATGCAACCTAAATCTAAGAGCTAAAACAACAGAACCCTTAGAAGAAAACACAGGTATAAATCTTTGTGATCTCAGGTTAGGCACTGGTTTCCAAACGCACAAGCAATAAAAGAAAAAATCAACTAAATGAATATCATTAGAATTTAGAGGATGCATTACCACCCACGAAAGTGAAAAAGATGTTTCACAGAATGCAAAAAAATATTTGCAAACCATGTATCTGATAAGGGACTTTACTTGACTATATACAAACTCTTACAACTCAATAATACAAAGCACTTTTAGGCCACATCTGATGTCAAAGACACTCACCTGCTTCTCTGTGAATCTACTTTCTTGTCTCATTCCTCTCATCCTAATTCCCATTTTCCATCTCTTGAAAATAATGAGGATACATTTTAAACTATGAATATATGCAAAGAAGATAAACTATTTTAAAGAAAGTGCCAACAAATATCCACTATTTACCAAATTTAGATCTTAATCTTACCACTATTACCCACATTTATGTCTTATTTGCAATATCTTTATATCTTAAAGCCCAATGGCCAGTATCCATTGTCTGAAACAAGATTGCTAACGCTGTACATGAGACTGAGAGAGGGGAAGAGAGCTTGGCTGTGGAAGAGAAGAAGGAAGGGCATCTGCTCTCCCAGATCTGGTGAAGCAAGTATAGGAAGATGTACTCACAGATGACACCTACTTACACCATGCTCTTTTATATGGAAAACAAAATTGCTCTCGCAGAAGCATGAGGTTTTGGTCCTAGTAATCAGGGCTACATTAAAGGTTCTTCTAAGACCAGATTGTGGCTCACCCTCCTGACAACAAGACCTCTGACCCATAACACCTAACAGATGACGAGGGCTAGTTTTCTAGAAAGATTCACTCTAAGCATCACATTCAAGGTCGTCTGCAAACAGCTTTCAAAGCACAAGAATTTTCTTTCCAGAGCCCTCACACTGAGACCATGCCTCCCTCGGGCTGCTCCCCGCCAAGGAGTGCGTAACAGCAGGGAGACTTAGGCAGGCCTCTCCCTACAAACTGTGATCCTCATCTGTCCGAGAATTTTAGCTCACTCAAGGACTCTACTGAATCTGCCAAAAGTCTCTTAGAACGGCACTTCAATCTAAGGCCTCTCTTCCTTCCTTCCCTCCCTTTTTCCTTCTTAGGTGTCGAACCTGCATTTCAATCTGTTTAGCTACTTCCCTCTCCAATTTCCCTAACATGCATTTCACCAAACAAATCTCTTACATGCCTGTTTCCATCTCAGCACCTGCTTTTCAGAGAACCCAGACTAATATAATACATAGTACTAAATAGCTAGAGCAAAGTCAATAAATACTAATTATTCCACATAAACTCTGTACCATTGGGTCTATGCAAAAGCCATAATGTCATCCCTCAGAAAAGATGCACTTTTTTAGAAAAAAAAAAAAAAATTAGAAGCTATGGGTCAAATTGTCACACATCATCTAGACCACACTTTCAACAATACATTGCTTCTGTTTTAAATATCTAAAGAAGTTAATTTAAATATTTAAATTTAACCATTTAAATAAAAAGAAACAACTCACATATGATGAGTTTATAAAACACGATGAACTAGTAACTTGTAAAAATGCTGCTCTAAAGGCAACTCGAAGGCAAAGGAGTTCAGAACCTTCCTACATACTTACTTTTGTACAGTGCAAGGAATAGCACCAGACTGTCTTTCTCAAGGCAAGTGCTCTCTGAACGCTTTGTAATTGGAGAATTTATCTGAATGTACGGACAGATCGGATATGAAAATTTACTTTGCCCAAGTTACTAAGACTCAAGAATCAAATTCTTAGAGTTGCTGACTTAAGATTAAACTTAAGTATCATCCGTGTTAATCAAATCATAAAACAATCCAGAACGCATTTATTGGTTTACATTGGAATTCATGTTCTTTTTTTTTCTGCAAAAAAATACAAAACTCAGTACACAGGAGAGCATACTATAAGCACAGAAGGACAAAAGAGGGAGGAGATCTACACACAGCTCCTTGACGCAGCTCAACAGTTTCCTTAGGATTATGACGCTGCTGAACTTGAGTTTCACTCAGATTTTTGCCTCTCCAATCTTGGATTTAAACACGCTTGTCAATTGTAGGACAGAATCCTGCACAGATGAAGTACGGCTGTTTTCCTTTTGTCCTATAAGTTTTTTTCATGACTAAAAACAGCCAAAGACCTGAGGTTGGGAGTTCAAGACCAACCTGACCAACACGGAGAAACCCCATCTCTACTAAAAATACAGAATTAGCCAGGCGTGGTGGTGCATGCCTACAATCCCAGCGACTCAGGAGGCTGAGGCAGGAGAACTGCTTCAACCTGGGAGGTGGAGGTTGCGGAGAACTGAGATCATGCCATTGTACTCCAGCCTGGGCAACAAGAGCAAAACTGTCTCAAAAGAAAAAAGCCAAAGCAAATTTTGTTTCTTCTTGAAACTAAGATCATTACTTAAGACTAGACAATGAAATAGAATAGGAAAAATTCAGAGAAAAGTAGCTGAAGACATGCTCGAAGTAAAAAGAAAGATAGAATAATGCCAGCACTCTGATACAGACTCTAGGCAATTCACCAGATTGTCTAGTACTGAATAGCTAGAGACAAGTCAATAAATCCTTTGCTCTACAAAGTATTTCTGGTGAAAGTTCGCCACATTCACCATAATGAATGTGGTGCCCATTCATTCATTCCCAACACCAACTCCTAACCAAAAATAACCTGTCTTTAAAACATGAAACAAAACCTTAGATTTGAGCAATATTTCAATAAAACCTGCCTATTTTACCTTAATCTTTGGACCTAAAGTGGTAATGTTCTGATGTCCCAGTAAAGCCAGGATGGGACGATGAAATAATACAGCCATCGGTTACTGGGGTCAGAAGAGGCAACCAATCACACACTCGCTGGCCAGCATGAAGATGAACTTATGTTCAAGCCTCTGATTCTCCCAACGGGTAATTTTAGAACCAAAAGGCTCTACTTCATATCTTTATTACTTCCTTTGCTTATAATAAAAATCTACTTGTGGTCCTTGGATAGTAGAAAAGCAGGAAGTCAGGAAAGCAAGTTTGGCAGGGTGAGAGGATACAGGTTCAACAAAGTTGCCACTCGACAGCAACCTAGACCAATACTGCCATAGTGCACAACCTCAGTGGGTGCCGAGATACAATGTAACTTGTACGACCTACAGCTCAGACTCAGGAGCAACAGACAGAGAAAGCTCAAGCAGTACTTCCTCACCCCCTGTTGCTTCTGCCTCTCCTGCACCCTCTCCGCACTCCCTGAATTACTGCAGAGGAGGAGGATGACATTACAGCTTCAGTGGAATGCTAAGCACAAAGGGAGAAAATAAGCAACTCCAAAAGTGGCAGCGACAGAAGCACATAGTCCTACCAGGCTTCCTAGGAATGCAACTAAAGGCAGAGATCACGAGCCTCTTGACTCGTTTCAAGAGTTCATTGGTATCTATTCAGAACCATCGAGGAGTCAATGAGAGTAAAAAGGCTTTTACTCTTTTCATTTCTTCAAAAATTTAACTTCTGTATTTTGGCTCTCAACAACAGAATCACCAATTCTCTCTCTGAACAAGAACCCGTAG